GAGAGCGAGAGCGAGAGCGAGAGCGAGAGCGAGAGCGAGAGCGAGAGCGAGAGCGAGAGCGAGAGCGAGAGCGAGAGCGAGAGCGAGAGCGAGAGCAGAAAACAGACAGGCTGGCTGCAGTTTCCTGGAGACTAAAGTGAATCATGCTGAAGGGGAGCTGATGAAGACAGCAGATACACACCTCAAAATAGCATTCAAGAAATGCATGGACCTGACAGCGTTCAGTGTGTTTAACTCCCATGAAGAAACAGACAAACCAGGCCGCTTAGAAGAGGGTTTGACAAACCAATCGACAATGACCGATGCTCTTTAAGCGGTAGCTAGGCGACAGGTGTGCAGTGTTCACATCTGTATCTCATGCTGGTTTGGAGCTCCATGACAGCAACTATCACTGAGTTCCCTGGGCTCCACTAAGCAACTCCTTCCCCATATTCCTTAAAGGAAATTATATATATGTATATGTATATGTATGTATGTATGTATGTATGTATGTATGTATATACTGGCTGCTCTTCCAGAGGGCCTGGCTTCAATTCCCAGCACCCACTTTCTTTATTTTTTAGGTGCCAGGTTCTCTTTTTACTGCATTTTATTCTTGCAGGAACCCACCAGAGTCCTGTGAGAGCTACATCATTTCCCTGTGAAGGCAGCACCCCCAGTTTCCTAACCATCTTCTACTAGACCCCACCTCTTAGAGCAGTGGTTCTCAGCCTTCCTACTGCTGCGAACTTTTAATACAGTTCTTTATGTTGTCTGACCCCCAACCATAAAATTTTCTTTGCTACTTCATAACTGTAATTTTGCTGCTGCTATGAACTGTAATGTAAATATCTGTGTTTTCCAGTGGTCTTAGGTGACCCCTGTGAAAGGGTTGTTCGACCCCCAGGTTGAGAAACTCTTAGAGGTTTCTCTAGCTCACAGAATCCTTGGAGTCCTACACCCAAACTGTACAGAAACAGCTGTACTTAAATCTTGCAGAAAATGTTAACACAGCAGTATACTTTCACAAGTCTGCCAAAATGAATATTCTTGATTTCACAATCAGTTTCAAGAAAGAATGAATTGTTTGAAAAAAGATAGTTAAAGCGTTTTCCAAAGCCATGCTTGGTGGTACATGTCAGAATCCTAGCACTTGGGAGACTGAGGCAGAAGATTGCAATTTTTTATTTTGTTTTGTTTTGTTTTGTTTGAGGCAAGGTCTCTCTACGAAGCCCTGGTAGGCCTGGAACCCTCTATGTGATCAGGCTGGCCTCGAACTCATTGGGATCTGCCTGCCTCTGCCTCTGCCTCTGCCTCTGCTCTCCAAGTGCTAGGATTAATGCAGCCCAGGCTAGCTTCAAAACTGCAGTCTTCTAGCTGCATAGCCCCAGGCTCACAAAACAAAAGCATACTGGAGTATGTGATCATTAAGAAGCAGAAGTCTAGCAGTCTTTTCATTGGCCTTTGCTTAAGAAACATTAAATGCTGTACTGTTTTTCTTTCTGAACATGCAATGGCAGTTAGACACGCTCCTTTCATCTTGACTTTTCTGTCTCAGAAATCTTTGTGTGCAGGAAGCGGTCGGTCCACGGTGTGCTCTGGCAATGCTGCTATACAGGCCTGTGCTCTGATGGCCTGCCGGAGTCCTGTGCTGTCTCTAGAGTGACTCAGCATTAGTCAGAGGAGCAGAACAAGAAATCCTGAGAGACTGTGACCAGCTCCCTACTTAGGGTGATGTTTTTCCTTTAATTAATTAATTTTATTTATCTATCTATTTATTTATTTTTTGGAGCTGAGGACTGATCTATCTATCTATCTATCTATCTATCTATCTATCTATCTATCTATTATTTTCTGGAGCTGAGGACTGAACCCAGGGCCTTGTGCTTGCTAGGCAAGCGCTCTACCACTCAGCTAAATCCCCAACCCCTTTCCTTTAATTTATTAGGTCATCTGATGTAGGAAAATGCTAACAGAAAACTCTAAAGGAATGTTAAGTTCCAGGCATGATGTCTTTATGAGCACAATCCTGAATTCACTAAAAATATGAATTGAGTGAATTTAATTCCTTTTCTTTCCCTGTTTTTCCACCCTGTGAAATCTGTTGTCTGTGCTATGAGACACCATGGCTGTCCTAAAGATACAATGTTAAAAAGTAAACAAAGGGGATGATTAGTTGACTATTTTCAGTACTGTTAATACAGATTATTGGCCAATTATCTCATTGAGTTAACTCTAAAATAGGCATGCACATGGTGCACAGATACATATTCAGGTAAAACAAACACAACCAAAGTTTACAAAGAAAAAGTCCTTGGGACTTCCTCAGTATAGGAACATCTTGGTGAAGGATATCTCATTTCAATTTCTCACCTCAGGTCAGAGGACTAACACAAGATGATGTAACGGGAAGGGGAGTCTCATGTAGGCAGAAACTGGATGACACATTCATGGGAAAAGCCAGGGCATCACAATTGAGTTCAGAGAACAAGATGGAGACGGTGAGACTCCAGGTGTAATGTGAGGACTCTGATAAGCCTGAAAGGCAGGGAGGGAAGGGTTGTAAGAATTCTGTCCTTAATTATGTCACCAGCCTGCAACGGCGTCCCAGCCTAAAAAGCGGGTGGGCCCTCTGTGCATCCCCTTCTCTTTCTGCTCTCTTTCCTTCCATCTGTCCTCTCTTTCTCTCCCTCTCTCCCCCCTCTCTCTTTCTCTTCCCCTCCCTCTCTCCCCCTTTCTCTCCCAATAAAGCTCTAAAAAGGTAACCATGGTTTGTGATTCTTCCGACCAGCACTCTCCTCCATCTGCATGGCCGCTGCAGGCAGCAGCCAGCCAGGAGCAGCGCTGTTTAACCAACATTTGGTGCCGTTCAGATTCGGATACACCACCAATCACCGAGGACCTGCTGTGACCACTGCCACCTGCCGCCTCCTTCCCCATCCAGCGAGACCGTGAGACCGTGAGACCGCGAGTGTCCCTGCTGCCTCGCCTCCACTGGACCCACACACAGCTACTGCTGCCGTCACCACAGTGAGTCCGCCGTTCTCACGGCTGTAGTCTGAGCTATATTTCTTGCGATGGACACCCCGGGGGTTGTCCTCGGGCTGTGCTGGCAATGACAGGCACATTTCCAATGGTGGACCAACTGCAGTGCAGCTGCAGCCCTTCCCATCCCTTGACGAAGAGGATCCGTGACTTGAGCTGATTCATAGATCTCTTTCCACTCTTTGGGGACGCCTGAGATTGTAGTCTGATCCCGGTTTGTTATTTTAATTTTTTATTTTTCTCTCGGCTACAGCCATAGGACAAAGGGGCGGATACATTTCCCATCTACATTGGCAGATAGGGGTGGGTACCGATAAATCTGGCCACATAACAGAGTCGCAGGAACTTCTGCCAGCGAATGGGCAAATAAAAAAGTTACTTTATCTCCAAGCTTTCTGCTAAAGCTCTAAACCCTTCTCCCTCCCCACTTCTGCATCTGCCACGTGCAACCTTTTCTGTCTGACTTCCACCGGCAGTGGGCGGGCTCAAATGGGCGGGCTTGGGCGGTTTCTATACTCTCGCCCTAACTCACCTTAACTCACCCACCCATTCTCAAACTGCCTTGAGAAGCACAGATGGGTCTGAAAACGGCTAAGATCCATACAAATAAGTTTATAGTAGTCAGGATGGCTCTTAAGCCAAAAAATCAACTTATAGGCTCAGACAAGTCTTCCAAAAGGATCGGTTTATAGTCTGCCTCCTGGCAGATCTTCCAAAAGCTGTCCTTAAGCCATCATTCATCAAGAAAAAAAAATTCAGGACACGGAGTAAAATCTGTCTCTTGTTCCCCAGGCCTCCCCGACTAAAACTTAAGCATCTGGAGAGCAAAGTTCCTGACCCCACAGGCAAAAGAGTCATCCGCGACATTTATGGTGTGCCGGGGAAGAGATAAAAGCCAAAAAAAAAAATTGCCAAGTGCTGGCGCTTGCTGACTCCCGCAAGCTGTTGGGTTCCTGTTTTAAGTGAGGAAAAGGCCACAGGCTAGTGAATGCCCTGCCAGGCCATCAACAGCCTTGTTAAAAGTGCTGCCTAGAAAGACAACAAGTCAGCTGACTGCCCCCCCCCCCCCCCCGGTGCCAAGATGCATGGGAACATCAAGCTAAGACCTCCAACAGACCTAGGCTTGGCTACAGACATGGCAAGGAACCCAGAACGCAGCAGGGAAGTGATCCGTTTCTTTCATTCTGGACACCAGAGCCACTGACTCAGTCCTGGGAGTTTTGGGATGTCACCCCACAGAGGGTGCCTTACCACCTCACCTGATTCAATTACACCATTAGAGTCACTGCCTATGTGTCTCACGTGCACACAGACAGGGCCCTGATCTTTCCCTTGACCCTAATTCCAAAATAAATAATAAATTCTCATGCACCACAAGTTTTTCTCTTCCCAGTTCCCTGTTTTAACTCACTGTTCAGCTAATGGTACAGGACCACCACAGAACCGGAGTCCAGAGATCATCAAGTAAGAAACTGTAACAGCTATTTACACCCCCAGACCCAAAAGCATCTGGGCGCTATAAAAAAGACTTTAATGTAAACATCTATTACTGTGAGATGCTTTTAACAATTAATCACCTGTCTCCTGGATGCCAAACTAATAAAGGAAACAGGTGCTTTAAAATAATCTGTCTCTGATAAAGCTTAACATGTTTCAAAATCCATAGGGACAGGCTGGATCTATCTCAGATAAATGTCAACATAAAATAATAATGATTCTTTTCTCTCTCCAAGTTTTTTTTCTGTGTATCTTGTCAAACAAAAAGTTCCCAGCCACAGCCAAGAGGGATACATGTCTCCAGAGCAAACAGATGACAGACAACATCCCACAATGCCTGTCTACCTCTAAAGACTCCTTCTCCATTCCCCCAAGAGCCAACAGACGTCCAAAAGTCAGCTGGAGCAGTTTTTGAGAGGAACAATGCCCCTATTCCCATCTACCTGCTTTTTTTTTTTTTAATAATAAGCGAAAATCTGGGATATAAGGATTCTGTCCTTAATTACGTCACCAGCCTGTGACTGCGTCCCAGCCTAAAAAGCGGGTGGGCCCTCTGTGCATCCCCTTCTCTTTCTGCTCTCTTTCCTTCCATCTGTCCTCTCTCTCTCTCTCTCTCTCTCTCTCCCTCCCTCCCT